TTTTTTAAAAACATGTGTTTAAAAAAAAATCATAATTTTCATGTTTGATTAAATTTCCTAAGGTGAAGACAAAATCAAGCTTTCTGATTTATGTTGCAATCGAATGTGAGTTTTATTATCTTTAAAGGTTTTCGTGTGCATCTGGATCTTAATTGTAGTTTTTTATAAATTAGTATTTTTATATAAGAAAGTCGCTTTATCTATTCAAATTTTCATTAATTCATTTATTCGCAACAAATGCATTAAAAAGACAAACATAACATTCTATCTTATAATACAGATTGCGCTGTGACACAATTTATTTATTTAAAAAAATTGAATTTTTGGTAAAAAATAGAGAAATTTTTAAAAAATGATTATAAAAAAACTGTGCATACGATTTTGAACTTTTTGAAAAGAAAATTTCTTCACTACTACAAAAAAAAACGTAAAATAAGGAAAAAGTGGCAACACTCGAGATCCCCAGCAGTTAAAGCTAATTTAAATAGGCTGACTAAAGAACTTACCTCTGAGATCAAGCGCTTTAAAAATAAACAATTCCATTCATACTTGTCTGATTTGACCAATAATCGCAGCACAGATTACTCCTTGTGGAAATGCACTCGAAATATGAAACGTCCAGCCTCTCATAACGCACCAATAAAGACCTTCACTAGCCAATGGGCCAATAGTGATAAAGAAAAAGCTGAACTTTTTTCTGAACATTTAACAAAAATATTCTCTATTTCTGGTAGTGAGAATAGTGTTGAAACTTGTTATCTGGGTACTAATAGCATAAACAATTTGCCGCCAACTAGCGAGCTTGAAGTAATGATGATAATAAAGAACGACCTTAAGCTAAAAAAAACACCAGGATATGATCTCATAACTGCAGAACTTCTTAGAGAAATCCCAGCTAACTGCATAGTTAAAGTTACTAACATCTTCAATGCTGTTCTACGATTGAAATATCTCCCTTCGTTGTGGAAGGTCTCAGAAATTATTATGGTCCTTAAACCGGGGAAAGATGCAAACGAGGTTAGCTCCTATAGGCCAATAGCTCTCCTACCTGTGCTTTCAAAAGTATTTGAAAAAATTATGCTTAAACGGATGTTGCCTTTACTTGAACAACAGCAGACCATATCTATGCATCAATTTGGATTCAGGTGTAATCACTCGACCATTGATCAAGTCCACAGAATCACAAACGTAATCGAAACTGCCCTTGAGGAAAAGAAAGTATGTTCAGCAGTATTCTTAGACGTATCCCAGGCTTTCGACAAAGTTTGGCATACAGGTCTACTAACAAAAATAAGAGACATTTTTCCGTTGGAGTATTTCGATATGGTTTCTTCTTATTTGACCAATCGTTACTTCCGTGTTAAGCATGGAAACGATTACAGTGAACTCCAAAAAATCAACGCTGGGGTACCCCAAGGCAGTGTACTTGGTCCTTTGTTATATTTAATATACACACATGATTTGCCAATGAGCTCAGCGACGTTTACAGCGACGTTCGCTGACGATACAGCTGTTCTAGCGATTGGAGATGATGAACTAACAGCAGCCAGGCGTCTGCAGTCTTCTGTCAATGACATTATCGTTTGGGCTGAAAAGTGGAAAATAAAACTTAACCACTATAAATCAGTTCACGTCAACTTTACAAACCGAAATATCAGATTTATGCCCCTCTACATTGATGGAATACAAATTCCACATTCTAATACGGCTAAGTACCTCGGTATGACATTGGATGCAAAGCTGAGATGGAATGAGCATGTAAAAAAAAAGAGAGATGAACTGAATATAAAATACAGGTCAATCAAATGGCTTATTGGAAAGAAGTCGAAACTGTCACTTCATAACAAGCTTTTAATTTACAAAGAAATATTGAAACCAATTTGAACATACGGTATTCAGCTCTGGGGATGCGCTAGCAGCACATACAAAAATTCCAAAACGTTATATTAAGGGGTGTGGCAAATGCACCATGGTACGTAAGGAACTCTGATCTGCATCGTGATCTAGGAATAAATACGGTGGTGGAAGAAATACAGCGAAATGCAAGAATGCACCTGCAGCGACTGTACTCTCATCCGAATGATGAAGCTAACGAACTGGCGTCAATAGAGCCAACACGTCGCCTTAAGCGTCTAAAACCTTGTGATCTTTGGTCGCAACCTGTCCGAAATGCGTGATAAATGAACTTGCGTGATTTTTGATTAAATTCTTTATAATTGTTGATTAAAATTGTTTGTTAGCTTATTATATTGTTAGCTAGTTACTCTTATAAAAATTTATTTAATCAAATAAAATAAATTTATATATCAAAAAAAAAAAAATACGATTTTGAGCTTTTTGAAAAGAAAATTTCTTCACCTTTATGAAAATGTATAGATGATTTTGGTCTCGTTCGTACACAAAAATTTATTGAGATATATAAATGCATACTATAAAAAAATTCTTTATTTTTAATGAAATTTCTATGATATAATTGAAATATTTTGTTGATATTTTATAATTATGCATTATATTGTATATTTTAACATTTCTCATCTTTACTTTTTTAAAAACACGTGTTTAAAAAAAATCATAATTTTCATGTTTGATTAAATTTCCTGGAGTGAAGACGAAATCAATCTTTCTGATTTATGTTGCAATTGAAATTATGATTTATTGTCTTTTATGGTTTTCGTGAGCAATTGGATCTATATTATAGTTCTTTCTTAATTAATATTTTTAGATATACAATTCGCTTTTTCTATTCAAATATTCATTAATTCACAATACTTGCGTAAAAAAATACAAACATCTTATTGATACTTGAAATTTAGATGGCGCTGGCATGCCTGCCTTGAGTTTGCTCCGCATTTGGCGCTGCGAGTGTGCAGGTTATTTTTCAAATTGAATTTTATGTAAGAAATGGACAGTTTTTAAAAAATAATTGTGAAAAAACTGTATGTACGATTTTTATGATTTTAAGTCTTTTGGAAAAGAAATTTTATTGTCTTTAAAGAAAAATTAATTCCGTTTCGGTCCCGTTTTTGCACACGCGGATATAATAATGCAGTTAAGTAAGCTAAAAAAAAAGCTATTTTTTTATCAATTTTTTATGATAAAATTAAAATATCTAATTGAAGTTTTACAATTATATTTTGTGATGTATATATTTTGCATTTTTAGTTTTTTGATTTGTATGATATTTAAGCAGTTTTGTATCGAACTGTAATACGATTATGCGCAAATTCTGTATGTACGATTTCTGATTTTTACTTTAATTGAAAACTTATTTTATTACCTTTCAGATGAATATTCATGCATGTTGGGGCCGTTTGTGGTTGTTTTTAATAATTTTTTAAGTAAAAAATGTAAGTTTTTTCAAAAAATTTGATTTTTTTATTTTTTGAATATCTCAGCTATTACGCAACATAAAGTTATGAGATATATACCAAATAAAAGATAATTGAATTTTCTATCTAAACCATATCATACTAAATCACCTTACTTGGTGAAAAAGCTTAAAATGGCTAATTTTGACAAATTAATAAACTTAGATAAATTTCGTGCTCCAATTCCAGCTTGGTCCCCTCAGCGTCGTTGCTATCTAGGCTCAGGTATCTTGCTATCACATTCAAAAAGGTTGAATTTGCTATCGTCAGCAAAAATTACATTAGACCAAAACATTTCTACTCTTTTACATAAGCTCTTGCAAATTGTAGTCTTCTGATTTCATTGATTTTGTTTACAAAGAGTTTCTTTCGGGTAGTTCTTCCTCTATAACCACAAATTATAAGTGAGTTTCGAATAGTTTATAGCGTAAGCTCCTTTTCCAATTATTCCTGAATATCATTGCAAAGAATAGTGACATTTGTCTTAGGATTTTTTGAACTTGGCGTACTAACTACCGTTCATTCGCTTTGGAAAGTGTATTAAGGGCGGTGCGGGCTATAATTTTTGAATGTCATTCGAGTTGCATTCAAGAATTGTCATTCAAGCAAAATTTTTGAACAATAAGGGTCTTTATGCACGTTGTGCGTTAGTGCAACAGCGCAAAAATATACTCTTGAATGATGAATGCAAATTTTTGTGTAACAGGCTATCACTCACAACACGTTGGCGATGAGCTGAATGATGTGCTCACCAGAGTTTTGGTAAGCATGCCAACATGTTGGTTGTATGTCATTCAAAAGTGCAAACTATCATTGCATAAATGACGAATACTTTTCAAACACCATGTTTTGCTGTTCCGCAATAGAATTATTTTTTTTTCGTCATTTTATGTTTAAATTTTTGGAGTAATACAATTTTTGCAGCAATACAATCAAAAAAAACAGAGTAAAAGTTGAAAATTGCATTATTCTTTTCACATTTTTTTGTTTCGTTTTGTTGTAACATTTTATAAGAATTTAGTTAATGACGAATACTTTTTTTGACCGCTGTATATATAAAGAAAATTTGATTTAAATTAGGCATTTTCGGTGGCTCGCAAGTGTGGGAAAAAACGCATGCTGGCCTATATTAGCTAAGCGAGACATTGGCATCACTGTTGCAATCTGTCAAATGTTTTGTTTTCACAAACAGCAAATCCTGCATATGTCCACATAAATCACATTTTTTATAAAAATAAATTAAGGTAAATGTTACTTGTTAATAACTTTATATTATATATGTTATATACTTTTCAATTTTTTGCAGTTTTTCCAATTTTCAATGAAATTTTTGAATTTTGTTTGAATTTTTGAATTTTGTTTGAATTTTTGTTTACATATGATTTTTGAAGGTTCACAATAATTTGCTTATTGCGTTGGTAGAACTTTTTTCTTTACTAACTGAAGTGTTTGGCCAATAAATAAGTACTGGTCTGGATAGAAAAAATAGTGTTGTTGTTTGGCGTACATTTCAGTCAGTATAGCCCAGTAAATTCCTACTTTTTGCACTAGTTGCGAGCTATCGAAAACGTCTATTGATACATGATAGCAGCTACTACACGAATTATTGAAATTAAAATTTACATACACTGAATTTTTAAGGATAGTAACTAAGTAATCATATCTGTTAATCGAACCCGATTGGCGGATATTTATTAAGATGGTTTCTGAGTACTGACGGAAACATTGCTATAAATTTATAACGTTGACCCATTTCATCCGACTTTGTTAGCATAGCATAGCCTGAATTAATAAGCTCTCTTGATCCTGGTGGAGCATTTTTTAATAATTGCTGTAAATAAAATTGATGAAACAACATTTTGAAAGTTTCAATCAAGTAACCTGTAACCGAAGGTTGCCGTTCATTTTCATTAAGAATTGTGCTTGTTCAATTGGACCATAGCAAACCACCATGCCATTCTCCTCTGCAACACGTTTTAACTGCCTGAAATCCACATCAGCAGTAAGGTCTGCAGTACCGGGATCTTGTAAAAAGTTATGCAATTTATGTCTTTTAAAAGCCTACAAAATAGTTAGGAATTATTAATTGAAACTATTTAAAAATAGATGCACTTACCCTAAGTGTGTCCACTTTTTCCCCGAAATGACCGTAATCTACAATTAATGCCACTCCACCGTAACATTGTAAACGTTCAGCAATAATACGTACTATCCTATCAGACTCTAACGAATATTCTAAGGAAGTTCGTGTTTCCTCAGGAAGAGGTTTAAACAGTTGCGATATTGGAGTCGGAGAATTTGATAAAACAAATTTAAAATTTTCAAGTTTGTCTTCAGATATATTGATAAGAACTTCTTTCCATATACCCGCCATTAATTTCAATTTGTGTACTGGCATCGCATCGAAAAACTCGTGTGCCAAAATAATTGCAAAATCTTGTGGTATATCTTCTAATCGTTTGTACCAATAAACTGCGCAACCACTCTCAGATTTACCAATTTGATAGTATGGCAGAGTACAATCATTTAGTTTCTCAAATTCAAAACAAATGCTTTGTGCTTGTAACTGACTTAAGAATTCACTAATCTCTACAAGATGTAGTGATAACTTTTCACTTAATTTCAATTGTGTCAGCACTCGTAAGATATCTTTAATAAGAGTCCCTCTGCCGGGACCAAGTTCAATAAGTTGAAATGGTTGTGGACTACCTAATTTAACCCACTCATTAACTATCCAAACAGCTACAAGCTAAATAAAAATTTAAAATTATACAGTGTAATTGAATCATATAAAATATTATAATACTTGCTTCGCCAAATATTTGACTTATTTCTGGGGAAGTAATAAAATCACCAGAAAGTCCAAACACATCCCGATTCATGTAATAACCGGCTGTTGGATGTGTTAATACTTCAGTCATATATTGCGCCACTGTGATTGGTCCAGTAGCTATTATCCTGTTTCTTATATGTTTAGCTAAATTAATTGCAACTTCCCCTTTTTTTGTGCTGTCTTCATTCAAATCTTTGAATATTTTCCAACGTTTAACGGGCCTGTAACAATAAGATCGTCTAATCGCCACATTTAACAACATATTTAATAATTTTCAGCCGCGCCAAGATAGTAACGATGTTGGTAGGTCCTAAAGAAAATTGGCACAAAAAGTTTTTTAAAAATTTTTTTATATTTTTTGAGTAACTTAGTTATTACCAAAGAATATCTTTACAAGAACGGAAACTCCGCCCACTTCGTGAGAGTGCATTTGAAATTGCTTTTGAAAACTTATTTTTTATAACATTTTGGCACACGTATTAAATACATGTGATCTTACCACGATAACATCAAATTACTCTCTTTTTGGGGTTGCAGTATAATAATTTGCTGCTACTTGTTATGTGGATTTGATCCACATATTTATCAATTTAAGTTTGTCGTACAAACCGATAGACAAAGCAACAAAACGGCTTTTAATGTTGCTTATTTTAAATGATAAATAATTTAAACCTAATGTTATCGTCAACCGGATGTTGTTTAAAAAGGACATTGTTGATCATTCAAGTATCAAAAGGGAAATTCCATTATTTCCTTAAATACTTTTGTATAGATAAATTGTATTACTGATTATGAATACAAGGAACCGTATCTAATTACAATTATGAAAATATATGTGAAAAAGAGGTAGAAGGAAAAATCCCAAGTGCCGGGACTTCCGTCCTTTTATCCCATTTTGAACCTTTTTACAAACAACAATAAAATGTAATATTACAATCCACTAAAAATAGCAATAACTGACAATATATTATTTTAACCTTGATAGAAAATTAGTTAAGTTAGTTGTAAGATAATTTTATATAAATAAAGAAACAACTTTCTAGAAAAGTTAGTAATTTTAAACTACTCAATCTGTGTGCATTTATTGTCGAGGGACATTAGGCATAACATACTTGCTAATCATATATTAACTTTTTAGTAATATAAAAAACTTATGCTTCCTTATTTGGTTAATAATAGGCGTATTCGGTGGCTCCCAAGTACGGCAAAAAACAGCAAGTTGTTGGCCTATGCAGGCCTATACTGGCCGCAATGTATGCAAAACAACAACACTATTTTCTCTACCTCGGCCAGCATAGTTATGCTAGCCAACCACATCGGCCAGTAAAAAAAAAAATATTACCAACGCAATAAGCGAACTATTGTGAACCTTCATTGAAAATTCCAACGAATAGTGCAATCAAATGTCAAAAATTGAGGAAATAAAAATTCAAACAGAATTCAAAAATTTGAAAAATCTTGAAAAGTAACGAAGAAATAATAAGAATGGAGAAATCGTAAGTATTAAGCACATTGAATTTTTTATTATGTTAGTTATTACCAAGTAACATTTATTTTATTTCATTTAATTTGTAGTTTACATACGTAAAATTAATAAACAAACATAATTTTTGAAGTTTTTCTAAAAAATTTTTTATAGAAATACACCCAAACTATGGACCACAAAGGAAACGAAGTGTTTTCTAGAGTGCTACTTGACACGAAAGGAAGAGAATCTTCAGAGGAGGTTGTTGCGGCATTCATAACATTTAAAAAATCCGTGAAACAACTTGCATCCCTCGGCCACTGCAAAACGTTGCTTCCTTCTCCCAACATCGACAGTACCTACAAAAATTTACTTATCTTAGTGTTTTATTTTTAAATTTCCAATATTCTTACCATTCCTTTTAATTCCGTGTTCATTTTAATTTTATAATATTTTTATAAAAATATATTTGATTTATATGCACATATACAAGATTTGCTGTTTGTCAAAACAAAACATTTGACAGATTGCAACAGTGAAGCCAATGACTCGCGTGGCCAACATAGGCCAACATGCATTTTTTGCCGTACTTGCGAGCCACCGAAAAAGCCTAATATCACATTACGTAAACAAAATATATATTGTAATATATAATATGTGATAAATAAATATAAAAATTAATATATAATAATTTAAATCAATTAATTTAAATCAGTTTAGTTTGCTTAATAATGTAATATATATTCAGTAAATTGATTTTTGTTGCTTTTTTCATATGAATTTTATAGTATTTTAATTTATTACATTCGACAACAAACTTTTGTAGAAGCAAATTTTTTAATTAAATAAAACAAACAGTTTTGAATATTTCTTATTTAATAAGTTAATAAGTTTTCTTAAATATTTTTTGAGCGTGTAAAACATTATTTCAAAAACAATTTTGATATAATAGCATTAAATACCGTTTTGATGTGAAATTAATAACAAAGACTGAAGCTACTACCAATTCACTTTTTTTATACGGCAGCACTTAAGTGATCCATGATAAATTGTGTTTCTCTGCGAAGACTTAATTTTCAAATTTAGTGCCAAAAAATATGTTGCTGAGGAATGGTGTACGCGCATTCCCTTTAAATGTGTGCGGTACGTATTATTGCCTCACATGTTTTCTAATTGATCAGTAACAATAAATCTGTTGATAAGGGAGGGTGTGCGCGCATTCGCTCTAAATGTAGTGAATAATACTTATTATTAATTTACATACATTACAGTATGATCAGTAGCGAAAAATCTATTGATAAGAGTGGGTGCATGCGCATTCATTGTCGGGTTTATGAGCTTTTCTTATGTAGATATATTTTTATATAAAATTTAACAATTTTTAAATTTTAATATTGAAAAATTTTAATTTTATATTATGATTATAAAATATATTTATATATAAATACTAAAGTATTTAAAAATATTAGTTAAGTTTAATTAAAAGAAGTACAAGTTGTTTACATAATTTATTATTGTTATGAAATTAAATAGAATTGATTATTTACCAGAATTAATGCAAGATTTAAACGAGATATATGCTACACATTTTTAGTTCATCTGTTTGATGAATATTATAAATATTTACATAATATAAAAATTAAAAACATATTTATTTTTTTTGTGTTGATTATGTATAGAATATATGAATATATTCTTCAGAATTTAAATAACCTTAAAAACATAAATTTATTAGGGATATGATTATTATCATGTAGCGCCTTATGTTTATGTTGTAAATATTTTTATCTCAATGTGAACATAAAATGCACACCTACTAATATCTTAAAATAAATAGTAAAATACTTTCGCTAAACTGTTATATTAGAAATATGCATAGAACTTAAATGAAAATTTATTTTCTTTCATCATTATTGTGTGGAAATTTAAAAAAAGAACCTTAACAAATTTTTTACATCCCTTGTATTTTCCTATTTCTACATTTAGTTTATTTAGCTATGTAGCTTATTCGACCAAAGTTCAAGATTTGGTATACATTTTCCACACCACCCAAGAGGTATGCATAAAGGTGCGTTACCGAGTTTAGGTGTCGGTTCCCCAAGAGGCATATTCACCATTATTTATTCGTTATAATTTTTTACAGATTTTTGCAAAAAAAAAAATTAACAGAATAATAATTACAATACTTTTAAAAATTAATTGCAAATTTAAATATACATAAACTAAAAGCAAAAAAATTATTAAAATAAAAATTTAATTTAAAAAATTAATTTATATGTAAAAGTCAACTGAATATCATGTGGAAAACTAAGGCTATAAATGCGTTACACGCAAGAGCTTTTGCGTATAGTCAGGTGTATTCAGAACCCTATTAAAAAATTTTAACAGGAAATATATGCGTACTCTTATAAAAAGAGTTAAAATACTGTCTGTTTTGCAGTTTTGACAGCAAACATATGGACGTATATTTTTTAATTTTTGGTATTAAAATT